TGGGCGTGCACAGAGTTCATTCATCAAACACGGGGGCAATGACAGAAAAACTACTCACTGTTTTTTTGCAGTACACGGGCTCCCAGCGGCGTTGGTAACAGAGAACGGGCCTTTGTTTACCAGCAAGGGTCACGAAATACATACGTGTAAATAAAAGGTGACTTGGTGACAGGGTAGCGGACTCGATGGATAACTTCATGAATTCCCCACGTAAAAGCGTCTGCCCATCAGAATTCCACTCCCCAACCGGTCAGTACCCTTTCCCCGTGCATCATAAATTGGCAACCCCCTTGAAATTAGAACCATAGAGTCGTACAGCACAGAAAGAGGCCCTTCAGCCCAACCCATCCGTGCCGACCAGGTTTCCCAAACCGAACTAGCCCCACTCGCCTGTACTTAGCCCGTAGCCCCCTCAACTTTCTTTTTAAGTTCGTTTGTGGGGTGCTGACATCCCTGACTGGGCCCAGCATTTATTGCGCCCGTCCCTAGTTGACCTCCTTGAGATGGGGGGTGGGGGGGGGGGGGGGTGGTGAGCTGGCTTCTTGAACCGCTGCAGTCCCATGTGCTGTAGGGTAGACCCACAATGTCCCTCTCAGGGAGGAAATTCCAGGGATTCTGATCCGGCCACACTGAAGGGACGGCCGATATATTTCCATGTCGGGATGGGGAGTGGGCTCAGAGTGTGGGGGGGGGGGGGGTTTCGCAGGGGGGGTGGGGTTCCCATGGATCTGCTCCCCCCCCCCCCTTGTCCTTCTAGGTGGTAGAGGGGCAGTGGGGTTTTGGAAGGTGCTGTCTGAGCAGCCTCGGTGAGTCTCTGCAGGGCGTCTTGTAGATGGCACACACTGCTGCGACTGTGCCTGAGCGGTGGAGGGAGCGGGTGTTTGTGGATGTGGTGCCAATCGAGCTGGGGGGCTGCTCTGTCCCCGGATGGTGTCGAGCTTCTCGAGTGTTGAGGGAGCTGCCCCCATCCAGGGGCTAGTGGGGAGTATCCCATCACCCTCCTGACTTGTACCTTGGTCAATGGTGAGTGACTCGCTGCAGGATTCCCAGTCTCTGTGTTCATGTGGTGAGTCCAGTCGAGCTTCTGGTCAATGATAACCCATTTTTCAATCCATGTACCTGTCCAAATGCCTTTTAAAATCATTTTCACTTCTGCATTGGGGAAACTTCTAGAGGTCAATGATTCAGGTTGAAATTAACCACCGTTTGGAGAGACCAGAGTCAATTTCTTAAGGGAGAATCATTTCGGGCCAATTTTCTGGAGTTTTTTTTGTTAAAGAGATAACAGAGAGAGCTGATGCTGTGTTCCAAGATTTGCAAAAAGCATTTGATAACACGCCACACACTGTTGAACCTCATGGAATAACAGAGACTCCAGCAATTTGGACACAAAATTAGCCGAGGAATAGGAAGCAGAGAGTGAAGTTCAATGGATATTTTCCAGGACTGAGCTGGAGATTCCCAGGGGTCAGTAGGGGGGAGACTTGCTTTTCCTGATGTGTATCAGTGATCTACACCTTGGTGTACTGGGCAAAGTTTGTAGAAGCATTTGCGCACTGTGAGAAGAACAGAGATCCCAAGGGATGTCGATGAATAGGAGTGGGCTGATAGATGACAGATGAAGTTTAATGTGGAGACGTGTGAGGTGATTCATTTAGTTAGGAGCAACGTGGACGGATAACATAAAATAAGGGGTACAGAGCAGAGGGAATACATGTATACATGCATGCCATTGAATCCCTGGAGTGTGGAAGCAGGCCATTCAGCCCATCGAGTCCACACTGGCCCCTCTGAAGAGCATCCCACCGTATCACTGCATTTCTCATGGCTAATCCACCAAGCCTGCACATCTCTGGATGCGATAGCATGGCCAATCCACCCGAACCGGCTCACCTTTTGGACCATGGGAGGAAACCCATGCAGACACAGGGGACAATGTGCAAACTCCACACAGACTGGGATTGAACCCGGGTCCTCGGTGCTGTGAGGCAGCAGTGCTAACCGCTGTGCCACCCAACGAGAGAGAGAGAACAGGGGGCCAGAGAAAGCGATTCTCAATGGTAAAACCAGGGAAGAGAAGCTAAATGGGTGATAATGGGTTGATGTGTGGAGAGAGACCCATGTCATGACAGGACCTGGAGGCTGGGGTGGGGGGGTGGGGTGGCTAATAGACATAGGAGGAGCAGACTCTGAAAAAAAGCTCAACATTGAGTCCTAAAGGTTGTAATATCCCAAAGTGGCAGTTGAGTATAGGGGCATGCTGCAAGTTCAGCACGCTTGCCTTCATTGCTCAGACCTTTGAGGGGAGGAGTTGGGGACGTCATATTGAGGTTGTACAGGACGTTGGTGAGGCCTCTTCTGGAGTACTGTGTCCAGTTCTGATCACCCTGTTATTAAGCTGTAGAGGGTTCAGAAGAGATTTTCCAGGACGTTGCCGGGAACGGAGGGTTTGAATTATGAGGAGAGGCTGGACAGGCTGGGACCTTTTTTCACTGGAGCGTAGGAGGTTGAGAGGTGACCTTATAGAGATCTATAAAATCATGAGGGGTATAGAATAGGGTGAACGCAAGATGTCTTTTCCCTTGGACGTGGGATTTCAAGACTGGCGGCATATTTTTAAGGTGAGAGGAGAGAGATTATAAAAAGGGCATAAGGGGCAATTTTTTTTTTACACAGAGGGTGGTGCATGTGTGGAATGAGCTTCCAAAGGAAGTGGTGGATGTGGATATGAATAAGAAACGTTTGGAGGGATATGGGCCGGGAGCAGGAGGGTGGGACCAGTTTAGTTTGGGATTAGGGTCGGCACGGACCGGTTGGGCCGAAGGCTCTCTTTCTGCCCTGCATGACTCTATGAGGAGTTTAGACTCTGAAAATGGTTCAGCTCGACATCTGAGTCCTAAAGGCTGCAATGTTTCCAAGTGGAAGATGAGATATATTGTGCATTGACCTCTCCCTCTCCCAAACGGTATAAATATCACATTTTTCTCCCTCAGTTCTGAAGAGGAGTCAGACCACGCTGGTGATGATACTGTGGCTTTGAGAGGTGTATTCTGTCCTGGGTTTTTTTTTCTGAAGAGAGTTTTTAAGGCAGAGGCAACCAAGCAGTGTATCAAAACCACGAGAGTAAACAGCTTGTGAGGCCTTGGGACTTTTTTCTTAAATTGGAACAATAGAAGCAGCCTGGCTGGGTGTGGTCAAGCTCTCACAACACAAGGCATTTTCAGTCTTTTTTAGTTTTAGGCAGTTGCTATTGGGGGTCTTGAGGAAGTGGAAGCTATATTTTCCCCTCCCTCGGTTACAGCCAAAAGCTGGGGTTTTGTGTCTGAATTTGCCTTGTGCCAAAAGTGTGTTTATGGAAAGCTACTACGTTCCAGCAATTAATTAGTAATGGCTGCTGCATCTATTATTCCGTTCAGTTTTCCGATAGAGTTAAATTACTCCAATCTGTTATTTCTTTCATTGTATTTTGAGTGGACGAATAAAGTGTGTTTTGCTCTAAATCTGGTAGTTTGACCAATCGAAGTGCATCTGGAACGCAACACCTCACACTTAAAAAGTTAGGCTCTGGGCTATCTTCTGAATATTTTGAGGGGAGTTTGGTCTGTTCCATAACACACTAAAGTCATGGATTCTGTTTCTCTCTCCACGGATGCTGCTGAGATTCACTGGGGCTTTCAGTGTTTTTATTTTTGCAGTGCGCGTTTCAGGTCCTCAGCACTCGCTGCGCAACGCTTTATTTATGAAGACGGCGCGACGGGGGAAGTGAAACGCATCAGCGTGCTGCAGATGCCATGCCATGGGGAGCCTGTCCTGTGCGTGTGAACGCAGGTGATAGCACCCGATCTGCCCGCCCCAGGCACCGTTTCGGCGCCTGTGTTCCTACGTTACGAGCTGCGGTAGCTCCCAGGAAAGGGCTCGGCTGACAGCACTCAGTCACGGTCAAGAGCCCAGCGGTTAGATCCCACACCGTCTCCCTTCCTTCCCCAAACGGGCCCACTCACAGCCCCGTTTGTACCCGCTTCGCCCGATCTCGCTGCCCCATTCTCTCCCAATGTCTTGTCTCTGCCCACTTTCTCTCCACCTCTTACAGGCTCCATTCATATCCCCTTAATCCCTCTCACCATTTATACCCTGTTTCTGTTCCATTCACTGCACCCTTTCCCCTTCAGTATTTCACCTGGAGTATCCTCTCCCCGGCTATACCTCAGTTTATACTGGCCTTACCAATTCCCGCTCTGTTTGTAAGGCCCATCTGCCCCGTCTGTTCTTGGTCTCAGTTTAGACACCTCCTCACTGAACACCCCTCCCCCTATACAGCTACACTCTCACCTCTCTACACAACCTCATGACTTCAGTTCATACGGCCCTCGCTCCCCTCCCTCTGCGGTTATGCGGCCCTCGCTCCCCTCCTGTGGTTATATCGGGAGCTGCTGCTAAATCTCAAGTAGGCCGCCAGTTGCACTGTTCGCTTGAAGAGGTTCCAACTGCTCAAACTGACACCCTCTCCAAATAAAAAAACCCCAACAAATCCCAGGGCTCAAGACACTTCAGCAAGACCATCCCTGCAACCACCGAATGAAACTGCACTCACATCACGGAGCCTGGGTTTGAGAAGGACGCTGGTTTATTTACAAATGTACAGGGCAAGCCTTTGAACTCTTCTGTACTTGAGGCTGGTTTTGTGTGTGTATGAATATGTGTGTGCGTAACTGTGCATGTGTGTATATATATGTGTGAGTGACTGTGTGTGAGAGTGTGCATGTGTGTGTATGTATGTGTGTGAGAGTGTGTATGTGTGTGAGTATACGTTTGTATATGTGCATGTGTGTGTGTGCGGGTGAGTGTGAATATGTGTGTGTGTGAATATGTGTGTGTGTGAATATGTGTG